GAAAAGTTCCCGCCCGTGTGAACGCTCCCGCTGGAGCCAATTTCAAATCTCGCTGGCGGGGAACCTTAGCCCCAATGAGAACTAATTCCTGGGCTCTGGAGCTGATATCTGAAAGAACTTGCCAATAAACGGGTTGCCTGCCATTTATCTAAGCCCTACCATCTCCCCCTTAGTTCTATATAAGCACACTGCTTTTTGCAATAAAATTGGAATTCTCCCGGCGAAGTGTCTTTGCGTGGGGAATTCTTTCACCTAAAATCCTGGGACCACACCAGTTTCTCCCAACCCCATTCTTGGAGTTGGGACCGAGCCAATCCTGCTATCCTGAAAATACCGGATCTAATTGGACTTGGGAGAAGACACTTGTGAACTTCGCGTCCAGTGAATTTTAACAAGGGGCTTCTAAACTTGATTGTATGAGCAGCGAAAGTGGGTCTGAAGCATCTCAGAATTCAGGTGGAAGCCAACACGCCCTCCGCCTCTCTCCGAAACTACACTTCCCAGAGGCCTCTGGGGTCACTTCCGTCCTCTCTTACTGCCATCCCTCTGAGGTAGTGCTTACTTACAGAGGCACTTCCGGCCAGTTGGTTAGGTCCATCAGGCTGGTTTGTGGTTGGGCCGGGCTCCCTGTTTCGTTTTTTTCCGCGTCACTGCCCTTTATTTCCTAGAGCTTCGGCCTCAGGATCCGTGACGTGCACCCCACGTTCCGCGAGTGCTGTCTAGTCAGCGCGAGTCTCTGCTTACCCTCATTTTAGTCACGGAGACAAACTGGGAGAGCGCTCTCCTGTAGGCACACCGTGCCGTTTTTCCATCGTTGAAGCCCGTAGGGTTAGAGACAAACTCACTGCACTGCTGGGGACAAGGGCTTCACTCTCTGGTCAGTTTGGAGCTGAGCATGAGAGTGTTGGGGCGTCCTAGACCCCCTTTCTCCATTTCTGGGTTGGAACTGGCTGCGCTGTTGATTTCTGTGGCATCTCCGACCTCTAATTGTGGGGCTTTGGAGTAGATGCCTTTTTAACACGTTGGGAGGGAGGTTCCACCTAGACACTCAACAGGGGGAGCACTGTGGAGACCAGGAAAATGGCCACGGGGCTCCTGAGAGCCAAAAAAGAGGTGAGAATTATCTGTAATTACATCTTGGCTGTCATCAGGATCCCTGCCACCCCACTCCTTACCTTTTATTGCCCTGGAGGCTGCCTTGCTGACAAATTTCATTCCTTGCCCTTGAAAAGTGGTTCATACCTGGTGTCTTCCTTTAGCATACCCTTCTTCTGCATCCATTGCTCAGTCATTCAAGTTAATGTGAACACCACACACAGCAGTTTCAATAATAATACAGGGACATCTGAAAGACCCACCGATTCCCTGTCCAAGAAAGACGCACGAGGCACTGGCTGCAAAAGCAAGAGGCGATTTATTGATACACAGGCGCCTGCGGGTGCCCAGCGAAACCTCAGCCGGAGCTTCGGTGAACTGGCACACCGGGCTTTGGGGTACAGATCTTTTATAGGGTACAGTGGTCAGTTTCCCTCCTAGCACAGTAACAGGTATCTCATTGGCTCTTTTGAATCCAGCATATAGGTCACTTAAAGGGTAAACTTGTTTTTCACTATAGGTTCCTGGAAAAACCATATAAAAACCATTTGTTATTCATTGTATGGTTTTTCATTGTATGATCCCGTTTGCCCAACCGTGCCGGTTCCTTTCCCAACCATCCTGTCCTTTCTTAATCGGTTACACTTAACTGATTTTCTGAAAAATACATCTGACGTCTGTGCAGGTGCGGAAGCAAGCCCTGGTGATTTATTACTGGGCCTAAAGTTATTGGGCTGGGGTCTTTCACATCCAAGCGCAGTTGTCCAGTGATATGGATTAAAAACGGGAACAGCAGAGACACCTGTGGCCTGAGCGGTTAAGGAGGAGGAGAAGTAGGACTGTCTGAGTTGTAGCTGGGGGGTTTGGTAAATTGGAGAGCTGGGGGGAAGAGGACCAGAAGCATAGTTTGTTTCAGAGACTGGGCCACTGGGCATACTACCATTGCCCCAGTGTGGAAGGAATATAGTAGCCAATAGACCTATTTAAGGTTAATTTAAAAATATGTGTGATAGAGACTAGCTATTCACACGTGGAGTAGGAGGAATTTGATATGGTATGAACTGAATTTTACATATGAGAGCACTTTTGGCATGGGCAGTTCTGGAGGTCCTGCTTCTCTAAAAATAAATCTGCCTTAGGGCTGGGGCTGGGGCTCAGTGGTAAAGTGCATGCCTAGTGGTGAGGCACTGGATTCGATCCTCAGCACCACATAAAAATGAAATAAAGATATTGTGTCTGCCTACAACTAAAAAATAAATATTTTAAAAAAATATCTGCCCTAAACCTGCATTGTCCTTTGGTGTCAGGAAGTTTTACCAGGATGTTCTCTTCATCATTTGGACAGAACCTGTAGGGTCTATTTGTGGCACTTTCTATAGTCTTCTCTATACAGAGGTTAAAATCATTCTCAAGGTAATATTTTTGCATGCCTCTCTCATTTTATAACCTCCCTGGTCTCTGAGAAATTTTTTCCTCCACCATGAGTTTGAGTGGGGACAGATCAAACGGAATTCCCTGTGCCAGGCTGAGGAGTATAGATTTTGTCTTTGAGTAAGCTGGGTTTTGAAGGATATTACGAAGAGACTCAGCATCAGAAAATCAGTTGTATGTGGGAAAATAGTGGTTGGCGGACTATAGGAATTTAGGGGATGCCTTCTAATTCTTGAGAATGGTGACTAGGATGACCTTGACTTAATTAAATGAAGATTTATTGAGTGTGGATATAGTTACCAGAATGACTTACTATCATTTTTGATATGGGCTAATTGACTATGCTTATCAGCCAATGAGAGTAAAATCTAGATAGAAAAGAGATTTGTATTTAGTTTAATCCTGGACTCCTTTGGTGGAGATTTATATGTTCCTACATGTTTTCAGAGCAACACTGAGAGTTCAGTGTTTCTTGTTTGTAAAATATTTCATTCACTTGAAAGTGTTAACACCAAGAACGCATAAGAAATCCCACTCAGAAATTTTCCAAGATAATATTGAATCTTTTATGTATGTGCTATCTTTTAAAAAAATATTTATTTTTTAGTTGTAGTTGGACACAATACCTTTATTTTATTTATTTATTTTTATGTAGTACTAAGGATTGAACCCAGGGCTTCACATGTGCTAGGTGAGCGCTCTACCACTGAGCCACAAACCCAGCCCTGGATGTGCTATCTTAACCACTCATTTACTATTAATAAGGAAATGTTCTGATGTACTATGAAAAGTCAAAAGTTTGTGTCAGCTGATTTTTCCTATTACCTTTTTCACTCTCAGACTCTTAAGCCGGAAGAGTCATATAATCAACATGTTCCTTAATATAGATTTTTTTTTTTTGGTACTGGGGATTGAACTCAAGGAGGCTAAGGCTTCTTCACCTGATTTGGGTCTGGAAATGCCAGGATTGTGAGCTAAATAAACCTTTTTTAAGTGAATTGCCTCAAGTATTTTATTATAGTAATGTGAAGCCGAACTAATATACCTAGCAAGTCCTGTCATGTTTATATTTTCCTCTAAATTAGCTTACTAATTCCATTATAATTCTACAATGCTTCTATTTCTATACATTATTATATGGGCTCCATCCCCAGCCCACAACTGAAATTTTCAGCTGGCTCTCTGGAGATTTCCTTAGCCAGATCTGAGAGATCATCAGTTATATATTCTTTTTTCCCAAGTTCATGCAGCAGTAGTTTTACTGTATATATAACAACCTTTTTTCAAACTACCATAGCAGTGTCTTTACTACTTTTTCAGTCTCTGCTAACATTTTGTTTACTAGTTTTATAACCCGCGATAACAGTTTTCCAAACTTCTGCCCACATCAGGCTCCCAAAACTAATGCCACATGTTTTAGGTATTTTTTTTAATGGAAGCAGTTCAATTCTATGCACCAATTTAGGGGCTTAAAGAACTTAGTGGCTGGGGCTGGGGCAATAGCTCAGCGGTAGAGTGCTACCTAGCACATGTGAGGCCATGGGTTTGATCCTCAGCACCACATACAAATGAATAAATAGAATAAAGGTATTAAAAAAATTCCTTCCTTTAAAAAAAAAAGAACTTAGTGGCTTAAAATGAAACCATTTATTAGTTTGCAATTCTGTTGGTCAGCAAATAGGCCTAGCACATTTGGGCTGATTCTTATGTGGTTAGTCAGCTGGCTCCTGAGCTGGAGCTGGGCGACCTCACGTGTCTTGAAGTTGACAGGCTGGTTGGCTGGGTTGCTTCAGTTCTTGGTTCTCCATGTGGCCTTTTTCACTGAAAAGCTAATGTTATTCACATAATGGTCTCCAGGTATCCTGCACAGAAAGAATGAAAGCCAGTCCCCAAACCAAACACTCTAAAGTAATGCTTACATCATATTTGCTAATGTCCCATTTCATAAACCAAATCATGTGATCAAGCCCAGGGTTACTTTAGAGGGAAAATTCATAAATTGGTAGAGACAGGTATGATTCACTGGAGGTCTTCACTGAAACAGTCAACCAATAGGATGTTTTTGAGTGGAAGCAATAGGAAACCCCACTTAGGCTGAAAAATAATAATTTAGATCATATAGAAGGAAGTCCAGAGAGAGGGCACACCTTAAGGTTGGTCCTGTAGTTCTATATACTTACCAAGGTCTGGCATTCATTGACTTCTCCATTTTGTTCTCCCACGTGTCAGCCTCATCCAGGCTCATTTCCCTCAGAGTTATAGGATATTTGGATAATGACCCTGTAAGGTAAATATTATTATAATATCGATCTTATAAGGAAATTGAGACATGGAGAGAGGAGAGTAATGACTCTTTTAAACACAGTTTATAGCCAGCATTTTTCTTTGGACCACTGAGTAGTTCTCTAGCTTTAGGGAGCCTTTTGACCTCTCATTCTAAGCTTCAGGCAAGGTGGCTCCTGGATAAAACAGGGATGTATTTTTTGTTAAAGGCTTTTGTGGTGTTCAGGGATGTGGCTGTGGACTTCTCCCAAGAGGAGTGGAGGTTGTTAAGCTCTGCTCAGAAGATCCTACACAGGGAAGTGATGTTGGAGAATTATAGCCACCTGATATCATTAGGTAAGTATGACGTCCCTTAGCACTAAAATTTGTCCCACATGATATTTTTCATGTGTCATGAGAAATTATTCTTTTGGGTTGCACTTAAAAATAGTGATTTACCTTTTTTACTTTATTAGTAAATATAGATTTAATAGAGTTGAAGCAGATAGCTTGATTTACTCATATTATGTATGATATCACTCATGCATTTCCAGGCCTCTTTCCCAAGGCTTTGCTCTCTTTTTACTTTATCTTTAGTATGATTCATTTCTGGAACTGCCTTTCCTCACTCAGCTTTTCTACTTTGAATAATTAACTATCATAGGTCTTTTGTAACCTTGTGAGTTCTCATAATCAAGTATCTCCTTGTTTTCTTCTCTATGAACAGAAATTGCATTTTCCAAACAAAAACTCATTACTCAGCTAGAGCAAGGGGAAGAGCCCTGGAGAGAGGTGAGAAAACATCTGCCGGACCTCTGTCCAGGTGAGTGTGAGCATGGGATAGATGCTTACATCTATCTAGCATACAGTTTGGCAGATAGAGAAGGAAGAGGCATTTCTCAGATCCTGAGAAGAAGCTCATCTGCAGGCCTCCTAGGCCACTGGTAAGGCTTTGTAGCTTTAGTTTCCTTACAGAATATACTCTTCAGTTGGGGAGGGACTTTTCTGAGGGAGGATCTCTTCCCTCCTCCTGAAAACCTCCCTTCCTCATTTGTCTTGCCTCCTCTATAATGCTTTCCATGTTCATAGTCTTTTTTTTCTTTCCTCTGGATCTTAAAAACTGTACCTACCTCATTGACATTAAATCTACCAACATTTTGTCTCGACTACGACCCATGAAGACGAGTTGAACTGGGTTTAAAAGAGCAACATTAAGCTAAGAAAGCAGCGAAAATAGTTTTTAAACCAAGGGCAGGATGGCTCTGTGACCTTAAAGGGCTAGAAAGAGCGCTGGAAAGAGCATGAGCCTGCATTTCCTTTATTTTATGGGGGGATCAGAGAGGAATAAGTTTTCAAGGGTGGAGTCTTGCTTCATGATTTCTTGTGGTCAGCAGATTGATTGACATCTTGGTGAGTCACACTGATCTCAGGTGCTGTGTGGGATCTTAGGCAGAGCTAGAGGGGGAGGCACACCTGCATCATGCGATCAGTCTCTGACAGGGTGTTGGCAGTGCAGGCCTATCCCCTCAAGAGGCTACTATGCACAGCACAATCCACACACAGCCCATGGACAGTTCGTGACACTTCTGGATACTTTCTGTTTTCTCTTATACTAAAAATAACTGATTATCTCTACTTCTCCAGATTATAGAAAGCTATGAATAATAATAAAATAATTCTCATGTGCCAGCACTCTAGTTTAAGAAATAAAACATAATCTAACTATTTCCAGATTGTATCACATACCTTCCTGATGTCCTGTCAAAAGAGAACTGTTTACGGATTTATAATGCCTATTTATAACAATGTTAGGGATTTATAATGCCCAATTCTGTTTCTCTGGAACTTGTAAATATAATAAACTTTAAAAATTTTTGTTTTGTTTTATTTTTTTTCCTGATCCTCTCCTTTGTATTTTCTTTTGGCCATACCTGACTGAGCATCTCATAAAATAATTTAAAACATGGTACAAATATTTTGCATATGTTTTAGTACATTTATTTCTAGGTATTTATATTCATGTTGTCATGTTTTTATATGCTATTCAAAATGGAATTGTATTTTATTTAAAATATTTATTTATTTATTTTTTAGGTGTAGATGGACACAACACAATGCCTTTATTTTTATGTGGTGCTGAGGATCGAACCCGGGTCCCACCCATGCTAGGCGAGCGCACTACCTCTGAGCCACAATCCCAGCCCATGTATTTTAAATTTTGAGTTTCAGTTGTTCCCTGCTAGTATAGCGAGAATATTATTTATATATTGCCCATGTTTCCTGTCACTCTGATTAATTCACTTATTAATTATAGTATTTTTTTGTAGATTCTTAGAATTTTCCATGTGTAGGTCATGTCATTTATGAATAAAAAGTCAGTTTTGCTCTTCCTTTTTATACTGCGTGCTTTTGATCCTTCCTCCCGCCATCCTTTTCGTCCCTTCTTTCATCCTTCCATCTTTCCCTCTTTATCTTTTTATTCCCATTTATCTCTTTTTTCCCTTATTGCAATTGCTAGGACCATTGGTACAATTTTGAATAGAAGTTGTGAAAGTGGACATTCTTTCCCTGTTCTGTATCTTGGGTGGCAAGAGTTCACTTTTTCATCATATAGTATGATGTTACTTTTATCAGGTTGATGTATTTCCCTTTTGTTCCTGTTTTGTTGAGTTTTTTTTAATCATGGATGAGTGTTGAATTTTTTCACATGACTTTTATGTTTTTATTTAGATCAGAAGTCACAAAATTAGACCTGTGGTGTTGTAGGGACAAACGAAGCAAGGCACCAAAGATAGCAGGAAACAGTTTTATTTGGTTGCAGCCAGGTTCAGAGGGTACAGCCCTGTAATCAATAAATCCCCTGCACCCCAAGTTCAGGGAGTTTCAGAATTTTATACCCAGTGTGTAAGGGGAGAGGCTCAGAAGTTCACAGTCTGCAGAAGTTCACATAAAAGCAGCTTTTGCTTTCACTGTTCTGGGCAAGTTAACTCTTCAAGGACAACACCTGAGAAGGGGAGAGCTTCATCTCCCCTTTCTTTCCTCCCCCTGCCAGCTGTTACCATGGGCCCATTTGTAACTTATCTTAAAAATGTAGACATCTCTGTGAACCCAGCTCAAGGCCCAGAGGCCTTGTTTGCACATTTCTTCAAAGTACTATACTGGATATGTTTGTGAAAACCAGTAAGGGGGTGTCCAGCACCTGGAGTGCTGGTATCTTCTTCGCCAGTGGCCAAGTAAACAGGGTGATACGAAAATAGGAAGTTTATCTACAATGGACTCTTTTGCTGATAGTCCTTAAATTAGCCATGGTGAAGAGGGCTTTTCTGTGGAGAAAGGGGGTGCCACTTCAGTGGGATGGTAATGTTTTTTCTTTGTAAATAGAGTTCATATAAATAAAGTTTTATTAGAAAACAGCCATACCCATTTAATTGACTTGTTGTCTCTCAATGCTTTCATATTATCAGTACAGCTGAGTATTTAAAACAAACATTGTGTGGCTCACAAGCCAATGTATGTTGTTTGGCTTTTTAAGAAAAAAAAAATCTCAGACCCTTGCTTTAGGAGATAATATGGCATTTCTTCTTTAGTTTGTTAATATGGTCAATTTGTATTGATTTTTTTTAGTAGGCGGACAAAATACTTTATATTTTTAGCTGTAGATGGACCCAATATATTTATTTATTTATTTTTTATGTGGTGCTGAGAATTGAATCCAGTGCCTCACACATGCTAGGCAAGCGCTCTACCACTGAGCCACAACCCAGCCCTTGATTGATTTTTGAAAGCTGAATAAGCCTTTCATTCTGGAGTAAACCTTATTTCATCATATTATATATATTTTTAAAATTTTATTGAGTTTGATTTGCAAATGTTTTGCTAAGAATTTTTATCAGTGTTCATGAGGGATTTTGATTGGTAGTTTCCTTAAGTCTTCGTCTGGTTTTGATTTGAAAGTAATAGTAACTTCATAAAATGAGGTCAGAGGTATCCTTCCTTTGTTTTATTGAAAGTTTATTAGAATTAGTATTCTTTCTTTAATGTTTGATAGAATTTGCCAGTGAGGTTTTCCTTGAGGGAGGATTTTAAATTTCAGATTTTATTTACTTAATAGATATGTGACTATTTTATTCTTTGTTTCTTTTTATATCAACTTTTAAAATTTGTATATTTCAACTTGTCCATTTTAGCTAGAGATTAATTTTGTGTATCTTTGCAAAGAACCAACTTTTGATTTCATTGTTATTTTTGGTGGTACTAGGGATTGAACTCAGGACCTCATACATGGTAGGTAGGTACTCTACCATTGAGCTATATCTGCAGCCCTTTTAAAAATTTTATGTTTGAAACAGGGTCTTGATAAGTTTTCTGCACTGGCCTGGAACTTATAATATCTTTTGAGAAGTTATCATATAGTTAGTTTTTCTTTTATATGTAATTTATCTTCTGTGATTGTTTTCGATCTTTTCAACAGTGGTTTTCAATAGTATGTGATGTTCTTAGAGATAGTTTTCTTTGTGTTGTCACTACCTGGGCATTATGAAGCTTCTTGAATCTGTAAGTTAGGTTTTCTACTCATTTGGTAAAATATATGGCAATTATTTCAATGTATTTTCTTCCCCTTTTATTCTCCTTTCATTCTAGAACTCCAGTTTACCAGTATATTGGGCTACTATATGTTGCCCATACATTTCTGAAAGTGAATACTTTCTCACAACTTCTGTTCATTTTTATTCAATCTCTTTTCTCTCTTTTTTTGGAACGGAGTAGGTAAATTCTATTTATTCATCTTCATATTTACTAATCCTTCTTCTTCCATTTTCAGTCTGCTACTGAACCTTTCAAGTGAATTCTTAAATTAGTTATTGTTTGTTTCAGTTGGGTAATTTCTTTTTTAAAAAATGTGTCAATTTCTCTATTATAATTCTATATGTTTTCTAATATTGATATCCTATTTTCCTTTTTTCTTTGAATATAATTTTCTTTAGTTAGTTGAAAATACAATGGCTTCTTTGAAATCTTTGTATGCTAAATTTAACAACTGGACCCACTCCCTTGCCCACTTTTTCCCCATCATATGGTCAACACTTTTCTGTTTCTCATCTGAATTCGAACTGTAAACTTTGGTCTCCTCAGCAATATGTAACAGCTGGTATTCCTGCTTTGTTCCTGTTGCTTTAAATAGCTTCTTTTTTAGCTGGCCTTCTGGCAATCTCTCACATATCTACGTAATTTGCCTTTCATCTGAGGATTTGGGCAGAGACCACATGCAGTTTTTAGGGCTACACTTTTAGTGGTTTCTTTGTTGTTAAGGATTCAGTAATTCTCAGTTATTCTTCTGGCCTTTTGGTTTTCTGGTATTTCAGATCCATAAGTCTTCTTTACTCCCTCCCCTCTGAGCTGTTTGTAGAATATACTCAGTTGAAAATGCTGATTTATAGATCTTACTCCATGTGGCTCTTTAAGAGTCAGTTTCTCAGTTATCTCTTCCTATTTTTTTTGTCACCCCTTTGCAGATATTTTTCCATGTTTGTAGATTATCTTCACTTTTCTAATGATGTCTTTTCAAACAGAAAAGTTTGAAATTTTGATGAAATCCAATTTATCAGGGTTTTTTGGTCTTGTTTGGTGGAACTAAGGATGGAACCAGGCCTCATGCATGCTATTCAAGGTCTTCCATTGTGCCCCTATTGCTGTTTATGTTGTTGTTATTTTTAAATAGGTTGTGTTTTTGGTTTTCTAACTAAGAATTTTGTACTTAACTCAGATCACAAAAATTTCTTTCTTCTTTGGTTTCTTTGAGAAGTTTTATGCTTTTGGTGCTTACATTTAGTACCATGATCCATTTTGAGTTACTTTTTGTATATTATGTGGGGATGAGAGTCTAAGCTTATTTTCTTGCATGTGAATATTCCATTGTCCTGACATTCTTTGTTTAAAAAGAGTATTCTCTTTCCCCACTGATTTACCTTGGCACCTTTCAATTGATTAAAAAATCAGTTGACTAGAAATCTAGAGATTTGTTTCTGGTCTTCCAATTTTTTTCCACTGAAGCTATCCTTCTTATGACACCTCCTCCTTACGATACTATCTTCATTGCCACAGCTTTATATTAAGTTTTGAAGTTGGATTGTCTAAGTTCCTTAATTTTCTTTTTTTTTTCTAATATTTTTTAGTTGCACATGGATTTTTCACTTTATTTATTTATGTATATGTGGTGCTGAGGATGGAATCCAGGGCCTCACACATGCCAGGCAAGTGCTGTACCAGTGAGCCACAACCTCAGTTCCCTTAGCTTTCTTTATCAACATTGCTTTGCATATTTTATGTATTTTGAATATCAATATAAAGTTTTAGAGTCATATTGTCAATTAATAGGAAAACAAAGAGCCACCTGTGGTTTTGATATAAGGATTACGCTGTACCTATAGATCAGTTTTGGGGAGAACTACCATCTTAATAAGATTGAGTCTTGTAATCCATGAGTATCTTTCTCTTTATTTAGGATTTATGGTTTATAAATCTATTGCTACTTTTGTCATTTCCTTATTATTTTTTCTACTATCTTATGATATTGTGAATGGTATTGTTTTCTTAATTTCATTTTTGGAATAGTCATTGCTGGTATATGGAAATATTTTTGTATATTGATCTTGTATCACATGACCTTACTAAACACAATTATTTCTGTTTGCTTGTTTGAAATTTTGTACATACAAGGTCTTATCATCTGTAAGCAAAAGAATGTTTTACCTATTCCTCTTTTTTTAAGAGAGAGAGAGAATTTTAATATTTATTTATTTATTGGTGGTAACAACATCTTTGTTTGTATGTGGTGCTGACGATCGAACCCAGTCCGCACACATGCCATGCAAGTGCGCTACTGCTTGAGCCACATCCCCAGCCCTACCTATTCCTTTTTAATTTAGATGCCTTTGATTCTTCTTCTCCATGGCCTGCCTGCCTCACCTTTTCTTCTTTGGCATTTTGGCTGAAACATGACTTATACTGGCTTTTCCTCATGTACATGTTGAATCATTTTTCTTTTGCTCCTCTGTTAAGATTTTCTCTTTTTTTTTCACCCACACTTTGACTATGATATCTTTAGCTGGGATCTTTTTTAAATTATTTTTATTAGTTATAGATGGACACAATACCTTTATTTGATTATTTTTTATGTGGTGCTGAGAATCAAACTCAGTGCCTCACAAGTGCTGGGCAAGTGCTAGCCACAACACCATCCCTAGCTGGATCTTTTTATGTTTATCTTACTTGGGGTTGATTGAACTTCTTGGATTTAAAGACCAATTTTTTTTTCATTAAATTTGGGAAGTTTTCAGCTATTTTTTGTTGAGTTTTTTTTTTCTCTGATCTTTTCTCTCTCTTCTTCCTGAGTGCCCATCACATATAGGTTGGTTGCTTATAGGCATCTTATTCTGAGGCTTTTGGTTTCTTTAATCTTTGTTTTCCTCTCTTCTTCAGTTTAGTTCATTTCTGTGGATCTGTCTTCAAGTTCACTGGTTCTTTTGCACACTTAAATATTTACTTTTGTATACCTAATAATTTTGTAATTTCAGTTGTGTTGCTTTTGAATTCCAGAATTTCCTTTTGTTTCTTTTTAATAGTTTGTTCTTAGGAAGGTTCTCTTCTTATTGAGTCATTGATACATACTTTGCTTTAATTTTTCACATATTGTTTTAGTTCTTTCAACATATTTATGTTAAACTGGATGTTTTAGATAGTATATTATAATTCCTCTGGTACCTGAATATATTTCCTGGCTGAAGATTGTTTTTGCTGCTTTTTGTTTGTTTTAGTTAACTTTTCTAGATGAAATCTGTGAAACATGTCTCCTCTGTGAAGATGATGCTTTTGCTTGATTGTTTTATATATGTGTATATATATTTTTTCTCCCCCAGTACTGGGGATTGAATCAGGGGTGCTTTGCCACTGAGCTGTATCTCTGGTGCCCGCCCCCCACCCCTTTTTGACTCACTAAATTGCTGAGGCTTTGAACTTGGAATGCTCCTGCCTCAGTCTCCCTAGTTGCTAGGATTACAGTGTGCACCACCACGCCTGGGTAGTGTTAATTCTTGCTTCCTTGATGTCAGTCTTGTAACTGCAGAACTTAGTGATCTGTAAGAATTGGCCATATACGTACTCAAAGACTTTGAGTTAGAAAGGCTTCCTATCTATATTTATGGTTAAATGTGTGGGTTGGGGAGAAAATTCAAAGGTCAGGTTGTTTTAAATCTTTCCTGAGATGGGCATGGTAGTGCTCTCCTGTAATCCTAGCAATTTGGAAGGCTAAGGCAGGAGCTTCACAACTTTGAGATCACAACTTCAGCAACTTTGTGAGGCTCTAAGCAACTTATTGTGACCCCATCTCAAAATCAAATATAAAAAGGGGGTTGGAAGATAGCTCAGTGGTAAAGCACCCCTGGGTTCAATCCCCAGTACTGGGGAGGGGGTGTCTTTCCTGGCATTCTACTTTCCACTGAGCCCTCTTATTTTCCCTTTACCCTGGTTGTCATCTCCTTGTCAGGCAGGGATGTGTGGAGAGCCCAGGCCCACCCAGCCCACAGCTTTCTAATGCCAGGGTTGTGTGGAGGGTTTGTCAAGCCTCTCTCTTGTTGTCTCATTTTCAGGGTCTCCCTGTTAAATTTTGGATAGTCTATCAATTTTTTTCTTCAAGACTGTAATCCTCAGAAAGCAGTTGCTTGTCTTCCCTGTTCATTTACTACCTAGACCTTAACTTGTATTGACAGCTGCAGTGGACATTGGTTTCTCCCTTCCATTACAAATCAAGTGAGCCCCTCTAGTAGCAGCTAATGACTTGGTGGCCTGCCTCACAGTAAGCTACCACATTAACAACTAAGCTAGGATGGAGTGACAGCCATCTACATATGGATTTCCAGTTTTCCTAGCACCATTTGTTGAGGAGGCTATCTTTTCTCCAATGTATGTTTTTGGCACCTTTGTCTAGTATGAGATAATGTATTTATGTGGGTTTGTCTCTAAGTCTTCTATTCTGTACCATTGTCTCTAAGTCTTCTATTCTGTACCATTGGTCTACATGTCTGTTTTAGTGCTCCCCAGATGATTAAATATACAGTTATAGCAATAATGTAGCAAACTCTTATTCTTACCTGAGTTCAGTGTTTTTCATGAATAAACACCTCTTGATTTATTTTTGTCTTTGGTTGATTTCTGGTACTGCTGAACAGTACCAGAATAATGTGATAATGTGAAAAGCTCTTGATATGAATTTTCTACATTATAATCGTATGGATGTCAAACTTCGATAAAGTGCTATGTAGTAAATATTTAAGCTTTTAAGGCCACATACAATCTTGTCAGATTGTCTTCTTTCCTCCCCCAAGATAATTTGAATTCTATTTATTTATTTATTTTAAGTACTGGGGATTGAACTCAGGGGCACTCAACCACTGAGCCACATTCCCAGCCCTGTTTTGTATTTTAATTAGAGACAGGGTCTCACTATGCTTAGCATCTTGCTGTTGCTGAGACTGGCTTTGAACTTGCGATCCTCCTGTCTTAGCCTCCCAAGCCACTGGGATTAAGGCATGTACCACCATACCCAGCTTATTTTAATTTTTTTAGAGCTGGGAGGCCTTACAGAAATAGGTTGCAAGCTGGATTTGGCCTGTTGGATGAGTTTGCCAACTCCTGCAACAGAAAATGTAATGCATAAAGAGAAATAAAAAATAGGTCTTATGATGGATTTCTACTTGGGAGATAGCTTGTAATATTATGAATCACCAGTGGACATGGCAAAATGGCCTAGGCAGCCCTACTTATGACTTCTCTGAAAATGTTCTTTATTCAGCAGGATCAAAGTTAGAAATTCAACCTTGTCCTTCCTGCCCTCTGGTACTCTCCAGTCAGCAAGTCCTTAGCCAACATGTGTGATATTTGAGGTTTGACTAGCTTAGTTGTTAATGTGGTAGCTTACTGTGAGGCAGGCCACCAAGTCATTAGCTGCTACTAGTGGGGCTCACTTGATTTATAATGGAAGGGAGAAACCAATGTCCACTGCAGCTGTCATCTGCCTCAGCTCTTTTCAAGTTTATATGCAGGAAATCATCTCCACCCAGGGAATCAGTACCCAGAATATCAGAAAAAACACAGGAACAACCCTTTAATCAATCCTGCTTGACTGACAAAACAAAAATTCAAGAGAGAGAACAAGACTCCAAGCCATTGTTTGGGGGCACAAGTAAAAATGACATATCAAAGTCGTCCTCCAACCTGTAAAGGTAAAAGAAATTGAAGTTAAAGTGTAAAAGACCGGGCATTGTAAAGTTTCTAAACTGCAAAGCCTGGGTTAAATTCCTGAGGCAGTTAAGACAATGCCCTACTGGCTATTTAGTTGATTTATAGCATTCAAGACCCTGTGCAGCTTGTCACGTAGGCATTGCAGGGCCTGGACCAATCAGTTTGAATGTAACCCCCTCCTTAGGAATGACCTATCACTCCAGCCTGACCTGTTCCCGCCAATGTATGTACTAATCAAGTCTAAGAATTATTGTTTGACTTTCCCGCGGTGTATGATGATTTGTTAAAGGAGACTGTGATGCATGTAAAATCCCCGCCCTCCACAAAAAAGTGTACTTAAGCAGTGCTCAGCCCCTGCTCGGGGCTCTGGGCTGTTCTCCCTTCTTGAGTGGGCACGGAGCCCTAGCATGCTAGATCAATAAATCCCCTTCTGCCAATTACATGAGTGGTCTCTTGGTGGTCTCTTTCTCCGACGCTTCACCGGACCCTTACAAACCCAAGTGAAGAACATCCAGTAAAGTCCAAGGAAGGCAACACAATAGTGGATATAAGGCCCAGCCTAGAACAGAAGGCCGACCTTGAGGAAAGGGACAAAGTATTGCATGGTTTGGAAGTCTCAGGATTTGAAGCAATCAAATTTGAAGAGTTTGGGCCAGACTTTATCAAGGAGTCAAACCTACTTAGCCTCCAGAAGACACACACAGGGGAGATGCCGTACGTGTACACAGAGTGGGGACCAAGCTTCAGCAGTATGTCTGTCCTTATCGAAAACCCAAGGACACACCCTGGAGAAAAGCCTTATGTGTGCAGGGAATGTGGGAGAGGATTTACCTGGAATCAAACCTCATCACACACCAGAGAACACACTCAGGAGAGAAACCTTATGTGTGTAAGGATTGTGGACGAGGCTTTACTTGGAAATCAAACCTCTTCACACATCAGCGAACACACTCAGGAGTCAAGCCTTTCATGTGCAAGGAATGTGGGCAGAGCTTTACCCTAAAGTCAAACCTAGTCACACATCAGAGGGCACACACTGGGGAGAAGCCTTATGTTTGCAAGGAATGTGGGCATGGCTTTCGCCAGCATTCCCACCTCATCAGACATAAAAGGACACATTCAGGAGAAAAGCCTTATGTTTGCGGAGAGTGTGAACAAAGTTTTAGTCAGAAGTCCCACCTCCTCAGACACTTAAGGACACATACAGGAGAGAAACCTTACATATGCGCAGAATGTGGGCGTCACTTTAGCTGGAAATCAAACCTCAAGACACACCAGAGGACTCACTCAGGAGTTAGACCTTATGTGTGCTTAGAGTGTGGGCAATGCTTTAGCCTGAAGTCAAACCTCAACAAACACCAGAGATCACACACAGGGGAGAAGCCTTTTATATGCACAGAGTGTGGGCAAGGCTTTACCAGGAAGTCAACCCTCATTATACACCAGAGGACACACTCTGGGGAAAAGCCATTTGTATGCAGGGAGTGTGGGCGAGGCTTTAATGATAAGTCAACCTTGATTTCACAACAGAGGACACACTCAGGGGAAAAGCCTTTCATGTGCAGAGATTGTAGCAGAAGGTTTAGGCAGAAGCCAAACCTATTTAGGCATAAGAGGACACACTCGGGTTCCTTTGTTTGCAGGGAATGTGGGCAAGGCTTTTGTGATAAGTTAACTCTCATTAAACACCAGAGGGCACACTTAGGGGGGAAGCCTCACGTGTGCAGGGAGTGCGGGCAGGGCTTTAGCTGGCAGTCACACCTCATTAGATACCAGAGGAGCCATTCAGGAGAGAAACCTTATGTTTGCAGGAAATGTGGGGTGTTTTAGTCGGAAGTCAAATCTTTCATCAGAGGATACACTCAAGATAGAAACCTTGTGTGTATAAGTAGTGTAATGAAGCCTTTAGCAAGAGGTCACACTTCATCAGACAGCAGAGGACATGCACAGAACTATGGTTTCAGTCAGCCACTGCTAAAACACCACAGAGGAGACATCTTACAATTGACGGTAGTGTGCACGCCACTGTATTGGTGAGAGTTGCATTTCCAGTTCATCTAAAGGAGGATTGCTGGCCCATTTTCAAGAGCTTTGGCCTTCTCTAGTGGGCGTGCTTTATTGTGGAGTCCTTTAAATAGGGAATGGAGACTATTTCTGTGTTGTTTTCCAAGGACACTTTAACACTCCTTCCCTCATACCCTCATGACAGTACTAGAGCTTGTCTTTTGAAGTCTGTGTGACCTTCTAACTGAGAACAAAGACTTTGCTGACAGCATAGCTGATTTAATGTTGGTTCCTCAGATAATTATTCTTCACAGTCTTCTGTGGGTTTTACCTCCCCAATCTGGGTTTAGAGGGCCATTTTCTAGTGCCTCATCTTTAATATACTGAAGGTGACAACTCTAAATGTTTATACGCAAAAAAGTATCCCAGAGCCAACTACTTAGCATCCATTGCTCCCATGATAAGTAGAGAATATACTATGTTGAAAATTTTGAAGAAAGGATAGTAAACAGTGTGAAACAATGAATAATATTTAAATCCATGTCTGTTATTGCCGCAGTCTGGCTGGGCACAATTCAGGAGCCACTTGTCAAAAGAAACGAACTTTATTTTTAGAACCACACACGCCAAACAAAACAGCTCCTCAGGAAAAACCCTCAGAGCCCAACTGCCACCACCGGCTTCCCACAAGCCTCTCCCACACCCACAAGCCTCTCCACCTCCCCCAATCCTCCTGCTCTTGAGGCCGATTGGCTGGGTCGCATGGGCGGAGCCAAAAAAGTCCCCCAATGAGCAGCACCGTGGTCTGAAAGGGCAGGGAAACAGCCCAATGAGCATCACCACAGAGGAACCAATCAGCTAGATGTTGCTGGGGCCGCTGTGAGCCAATCATCAGCTGGCAGTCTGAAAGGTTTGCTGGGGCCCCTTCGGCTGTGGCTCTCAACAGTTATGGTCACCATTAGAAGGTTTCATTAAAAAAAAAAAGAGGTGGTAACGAGTTTTAAAATAGCTAATTAAATGTAATTTAATTCTATTTTAATTCAATATTATGTAACAGTCATTAGATCTAAGTATGGTCAGATGACTTCTAGAGCCCTGAGACCTTTTCTGGGATTTGAATGATTAAAACAAATTTCATAATTATACTCATGATACTTTTTTCCACTGTGCTGAAATTTGCACTGATGGTGCAAAAGCAATAGTGAGTGAAACTAAGGGGGCCTTTGCATAAATCAAGGCAGTGTCACTAAACTGTACTGGGAGATATTTTTTCGCCAGCATACACTGGAGTTAGAAAAGGCAAGTTCCACTGAAGTTCCTCTTCATTGCCTAGCTTTCACAAGGCCCTGGGTTTGATCCCCAGCACTGTAAAAGAAAATAGTAAGTTTCCCATAAAGCATACAAGTTTTTATCAGTCCTTGAATACAATATTTTATAATTACAGTTTTTATTTTGAGATGATTGTAGATTTATGTGCAGTTGTAAGAAATTATATATAGAGATCCTTTGTACTGTTTGCCCAATTTTTAAAAATATATTTTTAGTTGTTGATAGATCTTTATTTTATTTATTCATATGTGGTGCTGAGAATCGAACCCAGTGCCTCGCACATGCCAGGCAAGTTCACTACAGCTGAACCACAGCCCCAGCCCTGCCCAATTTTTTTAAAAAAAAATTTTGTTAAGTGCCCCTGAATTAACCTAACCCACTGAGCCACATCCCCAGCCCTTTTTATTTTTTGAGACAGGGTCTCACTAAGTTACTTAGTGCCTCATTGATTTGCTAAAGCTGGCTTTGAACTCATGATGCTCCTGCCTCAGCTTCCCAAGCCACTGGGATTACAGGCATGTGGCAAGCCACCATGACCAGCTGTTTGCCCAGTCTTTAAACTCCACATTACAGTATCACAAGCAAGATACTGATATGTGTACTTTTCAAAACTATTTTCTGTGATGAAATGGGAAATGCACACAAAGCTCTTCTATATCTTCAAGAACAATAGGTTGTTTCAAGGAAACACTTATGTGAGTTGTAAGCTGAACTAGCCACGTTAATAAGGATGTTATTTTTATTTGAAAGATTGATTCACACACATTAAAAGTAGACATTTGGTCAAAAATAAGTGATATTTGGGGGTTGGGGATGTAGCTTAGTGATAGAGCACTTGCCTGGCATGCACAAGGCCCTGGGTTCAGTGCCCAGTACTACATATTGCTGAGAGCCAAGGCGGAGTCTGTATGGCCCCTGGCATTTTGCCAACAGTATTGATTGACAGGCGAGGCATTACTATCTGCCTCTGCCGCTACTTTTGTGTTCTTGCACTTTAGAGTTCTCGTGGGGATTTCCCGAGAGTTCCCATTGGTTGGGGAAGTGCAGGAGGAGGGATTTCCGGGAGAGATATTTCCGGCTGGGGGTTCCTGGACGAGCCGCGTGGCGTTTGGGAGGATTCCCCGGGAGCTGTGTGAAGTGTTTTCCTGCAGTTCAAAAATAAAGTTTGTTCCTGCTTCAGTGGCTCGTGATTTGTGCCCAGCCAGACTGCGGCAATTGGTGGCCCGTACCCGGAGCCCCGGGACACTCGGGGGTAAGTGACGAAAAAAAGCTGCTCGTCCATAGATAGGACGGGAGCAAATCTGCTCGTCCCTAGGCAGATAGGGCGAGAGGAAAAATGGCCATTTCGAGAAAATGGAAAAGATTGATACAGTATGTTTGTGTCTTGTTTTGTCTCAGTGTATTGTATTGTCTTTGTGATGAAAATATGGAAGGGGTGAGAAGTAAATTTCTAAGGGAAGAAGACACCCCAGTGGAACCAAGAATAGTTAGGACATGTGTTGATAAGAGCCCAGGAACTCTAGTCAGAAAGAAAAAGAAAGTTCAGAAGAAGAAGGATTATCAGGAAAAAAGTTGCAGCAAAAGGCTATTACTAAATACTTTTCGTTACCGGAGGGTGCGTGAAGCGGAGAGGCGGCTGCCGAGTGTGCAAGCCGGTCACAGCGCAGCAAGGATTTTCCAAGAGGCGGCGGCGACTGGCCCTTCCCCGCCTCCTGGCCGGGGAGCTGACTCTTCCACTGCCGCGAGCCCAAATCTAGACCTGACCTGGAGGCACAGTCTCGCAGGCTCTTGCTCCCTGTGCCCAGTAGCAGTTTGAGTCCGGGACACTCCCCAGGGCCATCTGGGGCTGCTCAGGACACTACAGCCAGCAAAAGATGCTACTGGCATCCCTGATGTTTGGTCATTTCCAAGTCCAGTAACTACAATGGTTCTCCCACACCTGGAAGCTAATGAGTAATGAGCACTATTAAGGCTTATTTCAAATGTAAAAAACCTTGAGATAATGTACTAAATTGTTCAGAAGGTTGTTTTCTTAGTAGAATGCTACAGGATTTTCTTTAGCCATCCGGAGTTCCTGCCTTCATCCCAGTGCCAGTAAAGACCAAGGTGGAAGAATTTCCAGTGTTGCTGAGATCTGGACGAGACTTCGGCTGAGAAACAGATGAAACTTCGGAGCTGTTGCTGTTTCTGCTGCTACAACTTAAGCTAGCTGCCTGCAGAACTTACCTGGACTGTGATTTACCTGGACTGTGAGTTAATCTATCGAGACACTGCTTTACCTGGACTGAGACAACAAACTGTAATCTATAACAAATTGTAACTCGGTATCTTTGCTAACAGTGTCATTGCTGGTATAATTTTTCCAAGGGCTTCTTGCATGGAGCCATCAATTGGCTTGGTATTGTGGCATTTTGTATCCTCCCTTTCTGTTTGTAGCAGGTTATTTATGGTGTTTCTGTAAAAACCACTATGGTCGTTATTTAAATTAAACAAAAGGGGGAAATGTTAGAGTCTATAAACAAGTCAAAATAACACCTGGCATTTTGCCAGGGGAATGTTAGAGTTCGTAAACAAGTCTGGATGGTGCCTGGCAAAATGCCAGAGGGAGTGGTTTGAGAAGTAACAAAAGCGAGCCATTAAGTGTGGAGATTCCTGATTGGTTGACTGCTGTATCTAGTTTATGCTAATTAGATAAGCTGTGTGGAATGTATAAATACTGCTCCTGTCCTGCACTAAACGGCTCCTACTCCTGCTGTATCAATCTACACAAGTTGTTCGTCATTCCCCGGTTATTTTGCTGCAGCCGGGCTGCGGCAACATATATTCACACCAAAAAGTTGACTTTTTAAAAAACTGACAGGAATTTTTGCTAATTTTAAGCAAAAAATTTTAATTACAATAAAAAGTATTTCCCCTGTGAATGTGACAGTTTCTCAATACTTAGTTCTTTATGATGAGACTGATAGTAATATTAGTGAATATGAATCTGTAATAACAAATAATACAATTTATCAACCTTGGAATCTGTTTACCTCACAGAGCCAATGTTCCAAATGATTAATATGTGATATTGTAAAATCATACCTGGGTAAAGATTTATTTTACATATAAAATAGACAAATGGATTTTAATTTAGTAAATGTCCAATTCATTCCACATTACAAGTAAGCTTTAAGAAATTATACTTGTTGATTTTTTTGGGGGGTGGGTACTGGGATTGAACTCAGGGGCACTTAGCCACTGAGCCACATTCCTAGTCCTATTTTGTATTTTATTTAGAGACAGGGTCTCACTGAGTTGCTTAGTGCCTCACTTTTGCTGAGGCTGGCTTTGAACTCGTGATCCTCCTGCCTCAGCCTCCTGAGCTGCTGGGATTACAGGCATGCGCTATAATGCCCTATTGATATTTGATGTGCTGTCAAAGACTAATATCAACAAAGTATCTGAAAATGCCATTAAAATACTCCTTTATCTTCTAACTCTATATCTGTGTTAGG